GAAAGAGCGTGCTGACCTTTAGCGTCTCTCGGATAGAAAGACGATGAAAGGGAGTCACAGGTTAGCGGGAGCCCTTTCCCCTTGCCAAGAGAAACACGGTCCAAGAGCCAGAGCTTGCAGATAACACGGCTTGAAAAACACTTGTGTTTGCCAAAGTCCTACTCTTGCCCAAGCCCAATTACACATTTATTTTTAATTTGGCCAAGCAAAAGCATTCTTCCTCAGCTTATGGAAAAAACGTCCTCGCTTTGCAACTGCTTTTGAAATCTCCCTGGAGTGGTGGAGGTGCTGGGGCAGGCTCTGGGCTGGGGAGACATGGGAGCTGTTTCTCTAATGCTTCCCTCTCTGACAGGAGTTTGACTCAAGCTCAGTGCTGGGGAGGGAAAACTGGCGTCCCACCGGCTCAGTGACAGCAGGGAGACTGTTCTTTCTCCTTTCTCCTCCTCCTCCCCACCAGTGAAGGCTGCAGGAGGCAGGATCTATCCCAGCCTGGCTCCCCACCATGCTTGCACAGCTTGGGCTCCCAGGCTTGCATCAAATCTCCAGCTTAACTCTTCCTCTGCACAATCCTTCTCCTGTCTTGAACCCAGAATGAGCCTCTACCACATGGAGAGCATCCCCTGTCCTTCCTCCATCGCTGGTGTCACCCTGCAGCACTGGTCCATTACACGCACATCCAAAGAGCTGCCTTCCTACCAGGGTCACCTCCCAGAACGACACCTCTCACCACGGCAGTGCCCAACAAGCTGGATAATGCCAGATGCTCTTTGGTTGCGGCAGGAGCTCAGCTCTGCTACAGACGTAGGATTTGAACAATCCTCTTGTGTGAATTTGGTGCTCTTCACTAGCACGAGATGGGCTCCAGGGAAGGCTGACTCCAGATAAGGACAACCCTGGCACAAACATGTCCTCTGCCCAGGCTGCAGCGTGGGGCAGGTTTGCCGTGTGGTCACCCATGCTGGCAATAACGTGAACGCAACAGAGGCCCCATCACGGCTGTCCTGCACTGCTGATCTCCTTCAGGGCTCTTCAACACTTGGTTGACCATAAAGGAGTTCAAAAGCTGTCTCATCCTTGTCCACATGCTGGTCTCCATGCTTCACCCCTCATGGAAGTCCTGCTCTGCCAGTGTAGGAATGTTTATTTCAATAGTTCCCTGCATCTTGGACTCTCCCAAAACTCTGATGGTATGGGTAGGAGGCGAGTTATCCCAGAGGGCCCCGTCCAAGGATGATGTCAAAGCATGCTTGCTCAGGTGCAAAGACCCTGTTGGCCACTGCAATCAGTGCTATCACCATGGAGTATTAACCCAGCAACACCTCCAGACCCAGAGTTATCAACTGGGAGCTGGGTACAAGCTTTGGGAAGAGCCTTTAATTGTGCAGGGGACAGAAGCCTTCCTCAGGCTGGAGGTAGCCAGCTCTGCTCTCCAGAAAGCTTGTCGGATCTGACATCTGTTCCTTGAGGCACATGAGGACAGGCAGATCCCAGAGCAGGAGGACCAGACCTCGCAGCAAGCGGAGGAACGCTGGCTTTGGGACAGACTGTCTCTGCAGATGCCAAGGGTGTCAGGGACACCTCTGGGGCCCCGTCAGGCTATCCTCACTGACACAAGATGTCTCATTGACTCCCTTGACCGAGGTGAGCCGTGTCTGGCCCCAGGCCTGAACATTTTGTGCGTTGCTGCAGCTTGCACTTGCCAGTTTCCAAATCTGTCAGACGTGTTGACATCTGTTTCCATGGGACTGGGAAATGGCGTGGAGGGTTGCTCTGTCCCCAGCCCGGCAGCCAAGTCTCCATTTTTTTTAGCCCTGTTCACACTCTGAGTTCTGCTAGAAATCTCTGCCCCTCTTCACCAGCTTTGCTACTCGGTCTGGAAGACGCTGAGAACTTGCTCCAAGATGCTGTGGCATCAGTTAAGCCCCCTACCCCATCTCCCCACTGCCCCCAACCACTTCCACCTGGGATCCAGAAGGTTAATCCAAGCTCTTACCTGGTCGCCAGGTGGTCCGAGGGGTCCTTCCCGCCCTTGGTCACCAGGTGGTCCAGGCTCTCCCTGAAAATGCACGCAGAGGGCATGAGAAACTCAGAGAGGGGCAGGCGTAGGGTGCAAAGGGCCCTGTGTGCCCTGGGGAGCAGGGATGCAGCACTGCTAGCGCATGCTGGATAGAAATGCAGTCATCCAAACAGGGAGGTTTTCGAGGCAACTTCAGGATTCGGGTAGGAAACTATCAGAGGTGCGGGGAGAGAAAGACGGGCTAGCATGGCCACCTTGAAGCCAAGAAGATAGCCCAAGAGGAAGACCTTCTGAAGGATGGGAGCACCCACCTCTGGGTGACATGTTTTAGCCCATTTTGTGCCAGCAAAGCAAATGCCGGAAGAGATCCATTTTGCAAGGCTTCTGCAGATACACAGACCTGGCCCTGGCCCCAAAACCATGTAGTGGCTTTTCCCAGCCAGTCTGCAGCCACAGCTGCTTTTCTAGAGCAGCTCCTGCCCTGGGCAGTCTGCATGGAGAGGAGCTGCTGTCCCCATGCATGGGCAGAGGCTCCAGGCTAGCAGCCTCCTTCCTCCACCCCCTCTTCCTCCAGCCTGCCCTCCCTGCAGAGCTAAGGGCATTTCCAAGGGAATGAGCCAGCAGATGGGGAGGGACAGGACATCCTCACCTCTCACTGCTGATGCTCTCCCCTCTCCTTTGGTAACGCTCAGCACCCTGAGCTGGGTTAGGGCTGGGTTTTCAGTGGAGCCTGAAAAACCTGAGTCACCCCAACAGCTCCAACAGAAGGAGATGCCCAAGGGCTGGGCACGGCTCAGTTCCACTCTCACTTCACCAACGTGGAAAGGCACAGCCTTCCACCAGGCCAGCAGCGCTGTGTCCCAACAGGGCAGCGTGTTTGCCAGATCCAGGCTGGCTCCGGGGCACCTTCCCCATCTTGTCCCACAGCCAGAAGCAAGCAAGCCAGGGAGGCAAAAGGAGAGACAGGATGCATGCCCCACCATCCCTGCAGCCCAAGGGCTTGCAGCAAGTTCCTGGCAACTCAGAAGAAAGCTTTTCCCCCCTAAAAAGTGTAGCGTTACCCTTTACAGCTAAGCACAGAGCTTTGCACCTTACAGCCAAGCCACCCCTGAGATCAGCCAGCACCAAGTGCTGCAAGGCAAGTTATCTTTGCACAAGGTGCTGCTCTGCCTGCAGCCCTGGGACGTGGGGACAGGCAGCCCCCAGGGAAGGGACGCATTCAGAAACCTCCTGTGACAGTCACACCTGACCTAAAACTTTAAGGAAAGCAGTTGAAAGCTTGGTGACCTAAAGCTGTTGTTTGCAAGCTAGAAGCTTCCAGATGCCTCAGCCAAACAGTAAATATAAAACACAACTTCCAAAGGGCCCTGAGCGCTGGTGGAGACGTTTCTGGCGAGGTTACACAGCCTCGTGCTTGGACTAAAACTTGGAAGGAAGCAGCCCATCGTCTGCTGAACAATTTAACTCCAGGACGCTGGCGTGCCTGCACCTCCCGCGCACATCTGCCCCGCACACCACGTGCGGCAGCGCT